ACGTAGCCGACGTTTGCACAAACACATGGTTTCATTTTTCCTCCTATGCTGAACTTCAACGATGCCTACCAAGGAAACAGCGCCATCTCTGGAAACATTCAATATTGTATCAACTTAATTAAAATTGCACGACATAATATCCCAGAAAATCGATCTCACGCCATTCAGTAATCTGGAAGCAGTCAGAAATTAACTTCAGATCCTTAATTTATCTTTTATTTTATCGAAATTATGGAAAGCAATAAGGTTTTCGGCAATAAATCCAATATTTCTTCATCATGTCAGCAATGAATATATTTGATCGTATCATTACCGTTTCAAACCCACTATAAAACTAACGTTCTCGGATGGCACTTTCAATAATATTCACAGGACATATAGTTAGATCGACTAGCCCTCATTTGAGTTGTCAGTCGGCTCACACCAGAGAATAAGAAGAAGAAGAAGGAGAATAATAATAAAGAGATGAGATCAGAGACGTTGATAGAGACACGCAAAGAAAATTTCTGCCAAACAGCAGCATGGTTTTTAAGGGATCTTCGAGTGGCTTCAAATAACTTTCATACAGTTTCATTTGAACGTTCGACCGGAACTGAATAAAGCGTTTCGTTACCTTTAGGCTGAGAATCCATGCGCCGTACGAAGTTTGAACAAATAAGTATGCCACTTAAAACGTGCTCAACTTTTTGGCTCAGCTCTGGTACTCTCTTCGGTCCCAAGCAAATCGGTGCACCCCTCGAAACATAGGAAAATCCACGAACCCCTCATTCTATCTGTCAAACTATCATACACGCTATTCTGAATCTATCCAGGGATTGGGTAGATGGCACCCATTCTTGTATCCAATAAGGAGTTGTCAAAATCTGGGTTAATTAGTTTTGTTCTGATGAGTAGAATCTACCCAGATTCTGGGTAAATAGTTCTCATCGAAATTTTCCCAAAGTGATTGTTGCGCTGCCAGTGAAAGTTTTAATGCTCAAAATATAAAAATCCGATGCTAAAAATGTACAGATATGGAACTGTTTGCTTGGCGAATGCTGCCAGCAGCTAAAGTTAGTAAGTATATTGTAAGTTTCTGGACTTTCAACATTCTCCTAGTTCTTGGTTATAGAGATATTCGAGGAGATATTCTGTGACGATGCCAAATGTTTGTTGTAGTTCCTAATTTATAGATCTCATTTAATATAAAATCTTAATAAATGGTTAGCATTTGTAACGGTATCGTTTTTTGGGTATTTCAATGACATATTCCGTAGTTTATATTTTTCTGACAATACGACCACAACAATCAATAACAGGCTAGACGAGCTAGTCGGGTGAGGTTATGTTTGATAGAGCTACTGCAGCGGTCATATCATCTAATTTCTATTAAAATGGGTAAAGTTTATCCTTTTATCAAACGTCAACATCTGAGTAACCGTTACCCAGTTTCTGTCACAGGTACGTTCACCCAGATTTGGGTAAATGCATGTTTACCCATTTTTGGGCAGGTTCAGTTTTGACCGATCTGGGTGGATTCTACCCAAATTTGGGTAGTTTTGAAATAGCGTGTAGCGAATCAAAACAAACATTGTGTAGTACTAGAATTTCGACTAGAATGGGGTACATTAATCGATTTGCTTAGGACCAATAGGCTAGTCAAGTAGTGAGCCAATTTAAAATCGTTAGTTTCGTATTGACTGTTGGTATAACTTTTGTCATATTTTACTGTTTTGCTTGCAGCGCAATCATTTTTATTAACATAAAACTTAATGAAACGTTCCGATTCGAAATAGTTTTTAATTACTAATAAATGTTGTATTTAATTGAATCAACAACAAATAAATGTATAACAGACATCAAATATTTCGTGGAAATAATTAAACTTTTTTTTTCATCATTGAGAACAATACTCCTTTCTGGTGAATTGAGCGAACAGTAATGTTTATTTTATCACTAAAAATTTATAAGTGGGAATTCTTACGTTATTTTGCCTCAGTGTATTTTCTTTCCACACGACATTTACTAACATTTGGGAAAACCTGCAGTTAGTCATAGCTATGAGTTCCTGCAGGTTTTCTCAAATATGAGTAAATTTCATATTGAAAGAAAATTCTGAGTCAATTGAATTCAGTCGCGGAGTCGTTCTGATTGGTCGTTTTGGTCTCGATCGTTGATGGCAAGGTAACATATAGGTGTTCTAATGTGTCAAATTCATGATTCAGCCATGTTGGATTTTTGTATGGGACAACGACCGAGTTTGTTTACAATTTGCTGCACTTTTCCCCCCGCGACCTATATAGTGACAAAGCTTTATCATCATGTATATCAAGTAAAAAAATCATATTTCGGACTAAAAATTTAGCGCGTAATATAAATGCAGCCAAGTTATAAACGAAAGAGAATCCACAGACAAACAGACATAACACTCGCAAGTTGTTCATCGATCAAGCATTTAACGGAAAATTTAAAAGTATTGTAGCGCTCATAGTCAATTCTCTTGCGTTTGACGTTTACACGCTACCGAAATCTGTTCAGCGTATGGCCCACCACAGTGTTCTCAACAGATGGCGGTAATGTTTTAGCGACGATGTTTTACAGTGAGAAATATTCAATGTGTTATGTCCGTTTGTCTGTGAAGAATCTGTCAATGTTACTTACACTCAAAAAATTTGTCACATAAATTTCACTGGAAAAAACACGTAACCTTCAGATATTAAAAATTGTCTGTAAAGTACATGACGTTAATAAAATTTATTACTAATTATATTAAAAGCAATGTAATATGCTTTGAAACTTAGATGAATATAGTTTCAAATGAATTTCACGTAAGATAATTTCACTTACACTGATAAAATTTCAAAGATTATTTTTATGTGTCCCACACATGAATTTTTGCAATTTGATCAACAAATGATATCTATGTGTCGACCACATACTTAATATGTGTACACATAAAAGCCATGTGTAACCACACATACTATTCATTTGACTCATAAATTTCATGTGTGCTTCTGGGTGGATTGTGTTTATATGTGGTCACATGAAAATCATATGGAATTTCACATGGAAATTCGTCAATACAAATGTGTGGAATTCTATTAGTGTAGATTCTACATAAATTTATAGTGTGAAAATTTCAGAGTGGTGATGGCACAAACAAAACCTAAGATGGCGATTAACACTGAGTTCATTTGTGACGTCACGCTGCAGTACCTAATTAGGTTCTGCAGCGTGACGTCACAAATGAACTCAGTGTTGTAGGCTGAACCTTTTTGACAGTTCAGTGGTACTGTTTACAAGCACTTAGTCGTTTTTTCGAAAAAAATAAAATCTAAAATTTCCGAATTTTAACTTGAAAATTGTCGAGGAACAGCGCGGTGAAAGGATGTTGCTCGTGGACAATGCAGAAGTGTGGTTTACATCTCACTGCAGTCTGAAAAATTATCGAGAAAATCTACCCAAGAAAAAAACGACTAAGTCCACGTAAACAGTGCCACTGAACTGTCATCAGATTGAGGTTAACCCCGACGGTGCAAAACCTAATAGAGATTTTCACGTCTGGTTGTATTGGTGCGATATGTGAGAGCGTGTTAGTGAATATCAGAGGAAAATACATAATAAATCGATGTCAAACTCATTTTGACAGATCTACTTTCATACATTTTTTAGGTTAGCCAGAGGAAAATAATAAACAACTTTACACGGCGTTGCCCCCGCTAGTGTGCGTGCGTCAAACGTCACTAATCTCTATAGCCGAAGCCAACTTTTCGTCTATCTGTTCTTCCTCATGTGAGGTTCTGTGAAATTTTCACGGTAAATTATTCTTAACAATTTCGCACTCACAGGGAAAAGTTTACCTTTGTTTACATTTTTTGTGCAATGTAACATTGACGGTGTCGTGAAATGAAATGAATATTTCGTATGAAAATCCAACGGGAAAAGTCAAAGATGCACATCAGTCTGATTGGTATGAAGTTTCCTACACAATTCTAAGGTTGTTTGGAAGTTTTGATGAAAATTCAAGCTGAACAATGCATTAGGTCCTAAGTAACATTGATAAATTCTCGTCTCTCTTTGCATCCTCACGGCCATGTCACGAGAAAAATAATTATAATAAAGCAACAAAATAACAATGATTTTTACTGTTGAATTTCGAGTACAAAATCATTTTTTTATTGTTAAGATGCTTAACCCCCCTTTTTTACTGTAAATTTCTCAAATAGGAGAAATGGATGTAATGTTGGCCTAGATGCCCCTAAGAGAAAGTCGATGAAGAGAATCGATCAAAGCAGATAGGCCCTTTTCCCAGCTATGTATAGAAATCGACAGTGAGCATGCATAAGGGCCTATACGCGATGATCTATTCTCTTCGTCGATTTTCTCTTTTGTTAATAACTCGCTAGATTTAACGTTTCTCGGTGCGTTTGGTGTTGCTTTTGATAGCTAATACAACCTGTTACTACTCTGCATTGATCAAATTCTAGAAAATTGTTTCGCTTAGCTGTAGCAATGCAAAGAGAAAATCGATGAAGAGAATCGATCATCGCGTATTCGCCCTTATGCATGCTCACTGTCGAAATAAACGTTAAATCAAGCTGAACATTGCATTAGGTCCTAAGTTACATTGACAGATTCTCTTCGTCGACTTTCTCTTTGTATCCCCACGGCCATCTTAAGACATTCTCAGGTATTTTCAGCACACATATCGATAAAAGAAGCTTTCATCTAGCATCTAATACGACAAACACAACAAGAAACGGTTATGTACTCATGTTATTAACGAAACAGAAAGTCGACGAAGAGAATCGATCAATGTTACTTAGGACCTAATGCAATGTTCAGCTTGAAATCTATAGCGAGTTATTAACAGACGAGAAAATCGACGAAGAGAATCGATCATCGCGTTTACGCCCTTATGCATACTCACCGTCGAATTATTTCGTAGCCAGCGAGTCAACATTATCCAGTGGCAACATCTGCGTAGAGCTTTTACGGCAGTTTTTTTGTGCGTAGCTTACCTGAAATTTATTCTACGTTCTTTTAGAGTCTATTTCTCCGATTTTCAACAGCAGAACAATGAGTACACTAACTCGTTTTTCACCAAAATTAAATGATTGGAAAGCGCAAAAGAGCCTAGGTAATGACATCACACGATTATTAATCTCGATCACAACACAAATACAACATTTTAATTCGATTATAAAGCATAAAATATTCTGATTCAGCATTGACGTTGACGGCAACTCTGTAGCTCTTTACTCATACGAAAAATCCCGTACGCATATACGTCAGACTGTGCTTGAAACATGGCGGTCTTATCTCTTCACTCCACCTATTAGATACTGCCAATTTTTGCTAGAAGAGACGATTTTTTAACGGTGCCGTCAACGCCAATTGGCGTTAGCGATTTTCTCTGAACCGAGAGACTATCTTTACTCCAACGGTGTTTTTCATTTACGTGTGTGAAAAAAAGCAAAAAATCTTCCTTCACTTTCTCGCATAAAACCGCAAACAAATGGCGTTGACGGCACCGTCGAAAAATTTGCTCTTTCAGCAAATATAGACAGTTTCTTATAGGTATTTTCGGTGGAGTGAAAGGATAGTACAAAGTCCGCCATGTTTCACGCACAGTCTGACGTTTGCTTATGGATTTTCTCATAGGAGTAAAGAGCTACAGAGTCGCCGTCAACGCCAAAGTCATCACACTCGTCAAATGGAACATCTACAAGGCTGCCAGATTAACGGATACAAACTGAACCGCATAATCGAACCGGTAATCGGAGCCAACATATAGGGCCTGTTCAAATACTACGTAAAGCTAAAATCAATGGACCACTTTGTCATGCAGTTTTGGCATGACCTCCTACCAGCAATTTCACAAAACTGGACCAACAAATTGGTATTTTTTCTTTGAAACGCACTCTTAATAAAAATCTCAAATTTTATTTTTTTATTTTAGAGTTTGAGTGGTAGTAAACCTGGTAGTAAACGGCGTATTAATTGCTCGAATGAAGTGATTGATTAAATTTGCCAACGTAAAACGCCAAAATCAACAATATTTTGAGATGTTTTCTTCTAGAACATTTAACTTATTTCGAAACTCGTATTTAGTGTGAAAATGCGTTGCAAAGCGCTGCGATTCAACCAATGCGAATGCGCTGAAAAAGTACCCAAAATATTTTATTCCTTGATTTGTTTTCCGTCTATCATGTTTTCCGTGCTGACCACCAATGCTATCGAAACTAGGGAGGCAACTCCCACACCTGGACCAATGCGCAGCAAAATGCGTTAAGTGTGTCAAGCCGTCCCGGATTTGTTTTTTTCTATGCTGGCGGGTATTTAAAAAGTTCTTAAATCAGGTTAATGTTGCGCTGATTAATCTATACACAGAGTTAGATTACCAAAGTCCGTAAAATTGTCCTGATTTTTTAATCATCAGATTTTTCAGTAGTTTTCACTTTAACTGAAAATTCCGTAAATCTTACTATCTCTGAACTGTCAAAAATTATCGTTTAAAGCCTAAATTTTGAGATCATAGCAAGATGTATTCAAATTTTAAAATCAACAAAACATCTGTTTGCAACAAACGTCAAAATTACCTGACGGAATAATTGGTGCCGGATTGAACATTTCTCATTGTAAAACATCGTTGCGAAAACACTACCGCCATTTGTCGTATACACTGCGATACAATTTGAGCGTGTTATGTGGTGTTATGTCTGCTTGTCTGTGTTATTACCTTATTCAGGAGTTTGTCGCAAAAGCTACTAAACATCAAAAGTTTTATTGAGAATAGCTGATTTACAGCTTCAAAACTGTAAAAAAAAATTGCCGAATCGGAAACCGTGATTAAGTTTGTCCGCTTTTAGAATCTTACACGGCGAATGAGAACGACCCAAATTTGAGTTTAGTTCACTCATAATCGCTAAAAGTGCAGGAACTCAGCGATGAGTAAATTTGTCTCATGGTTTCCTGTGGAAAACCTAAAAAATCTGCCGGAAAATGAGGAAATTGACGAAAATTTTATTCAGTCTCGGGGTAGTACCAATATACTGAGTGAATCCAATCTTTACTTTTCTCAAATTCGAGAATTTTTCCCTGGAAAAACCTGGGAAAACATGAGACAAATTTTACTCATCACTGAGTTCCTGCACTTTTGGCGATTATGAGTGAACTAAACTCAAATTTGAGTTATTCTAATTCGCCGTGTATTCATACGAATAAGTAAAATTGATTCTCTGAGTTAGTTTCGTTTTTATATCTATTTGAGTGAGTTTGAACGGCCTTGTTTGTTTACGGGTTTGAGTTCGAACTGCATATTTGTCGGATCGATTACCGCAGAGGTGGCGCTGGTTTCTACTCGAATTATGAGCTACTGCATCGGCTTATGTCTGAACTACAAACACACGCACACGTCCATACCGTTTTGACAGCTCATATCGGAGTACTTTGGCTTTCTCCCTTCTCGTAAAAACGTCATTATGGAATCCTTAAAATTCTGTGAAAAGTTTTGATTTTCTTCTAGAAATTAGTGAAATTATCCGTCAAAAGTGTTAAAATTTTGTGCACGAAGGTAACTACTATTCGTATGCAGTGAAGTTTTCAAAATATGTGAAGAATTAGAAGCGTGGAAAGCAATTTTCGTTTGCGCCAGACAATTATATATTGTATTATACACGGCTCGCCCATTTTTTGATTGCATTTTTCCGCTGCATACCGCACAAATGAACGAGTAGAGTAGGTGCAGCGAAAGATAGCGGGGGATCTCGGATTATGCTCGGCTGGATGTGCTGGTTGTGTCAATAATTAGAACGGATATCCAGAATATAGCCTGTTGGTGATGTCCGATGGAACAGTTTCCCGTTAGTCTAAAATGTTCGTGTGCCACACTTGATTGATCAAAAATGTTGCGTGGAGTGAAATGAAGCTCATGTTGTCCAATCCGAAAAGTTAACGAGAGGCTCTTATTTTCATTCTATGCCTCCTCTTCCATATATGTACCTACTTACTTTTCTCTATTTGGAATAGTGCGATCAAAGCAGAAAAGATGTAAACAACATCGTTGCGTGTGTATTTATGCATTTTTTTTTGTTTCTGTGTATTATTTTTCTTAGTCAGTTTATGACTGGGGGATTGTTCGTCGTAGGTGAATCATGAAAATCAGTTCGTCATCGTTCCGTGATTTCAGCTGGTTGGATGCTGTCCATGGCATTAGTAAATGCTCTATTTACTTGTGTGCATTTAGTTCAGATTAGTAATTGGATGGATGTTATCTATGCCAACGACGTGCAGATTGATATGCTATTTTATAGTTAGATTGAGCAGTTCCATGTCGTCGATTAACAGTTAATTACTAATCCTCTGTGTTATATTTTACAGAACGCTGAAAACACGACTCAAGGATGTCTCGTCAACTGAATCCAAATCAGCAGAAAATTTCTGAAAAACTCATCATCCTCAACGATCGTGGGGCCGGCATCCTTACACGAATCTACAATATAAAGAAAGCATGTGGCGATACCAAGTCCAAGCCTGGTTTCCTCTCCGAGAAGTCACTTGAGTCATCGATTAAGTTCATTGTCAAGCGGTTTCCGAATATCGACGTCAAAGGCCTAGCTGCTATCACTAACATTAAGTCGGAGATCATCAAATCCCTTTCGCTGTACTATTACACGTTTGTCGATTTGCTGGATTTTAAGGACAATGTTTGCGAGATTCTGACGACCATGGATGCTCTGCAGATCCATCTAGATATTACACTAAACTTTGAACTGTCTAAACATTATCTGGATCTGGTGACGACCTACGTTTCCCTTATGATCCTTCTTTCGCGAGTTGAAGATCGCAAGGCCGTACTCGGTCTCTTCAACGCTGCCTACGAAATGCAACACCAACAAAGCGACCAGAGCTTCCCCCGACTCGGTCAAATGATTATCGATTACGACGCTCCGGTGAAGAAACTGGCCGACGAGTTCATTCCCCACCAAAGGTTGCTTTCAAGTGCGATTACATCACTGACCAAGATCTACCCGATGAGAAACTTAAGTGCGGAAAAGTGGCGCGAACTGCAATTGCTTAGCTTGGTTGGCACTCCAGCAACGCTTCTGAAAGCTGCCAAAACCGATACCATGTCGTGTGAGTATGTATCGCTCGAAACACTCGACCGTTGGGTCATATTCGGTTTGATGTTGAATCACCAGGCCCTGGGGCATCAAGATTTGATCACATCCATGTGGATATCTGCACTGGATTCTAGCTGGGTGATGGCACTATTCCGAGATGAGGTCATCTACATTCACCAGTACATTCAGAACACATTCGAAGGCATGAAAGGCTATGGCAAGCGTATTTCAGAAGTGAAAGAGTGCTACAACCAAGCTGTTCAGAAAGCGGGTCTGCTTCACCGTGAGAGACGAAAGTTTTTAAGAACCGCACTGAAAGAACTGGCCCTTATTATGACCGACCAGCCAGGATTGCTAGGACCGAAAGCGTTACTCATCTTCATTGGTCTATGCTACGCACGAGATGAAATTTTGTGGCTGCTTCGCCACAACGATAATCCTCCGGTGGTGAAAAGCAAAGGCAAGTCAACGGAAGATTTGGTAGATCGACAACTGCCTGAATTGCTATTTCATATGGAAGAACTTCGGGCACTTGTTCGAAAATACAGCCAGGTCATGCAGCGTTACTACGTACAGTATTTGTCGGGGTACGATGCCATTGATTTGAACTTTAAGATGCAACAGCTACAGGTAAAATAGTTATATTAAAGAAATCGACTTTCAATATAACAGTGTTATTCTATCCTTCTTGGTCCAGGTTTGCCCAGAAGACGAAAGCATCATTCTGTCCTCGCTGTACAACACAGCCGCATCGCTGAATGTGAAACAAGTCGAAGACAACGAAACGTTCGATTTCCGTGCATTCCGGCTCGACTGGTTCCGATTGCAGACGTTCATGAGTGCCAAGTCGGCCATTCGCATAGTTGACTACCCGGATCTGGCACGTCTACTCGACTCGATGGTATTCCACACCAAAATGGTGGACAATCTTGACGAAATCCTGGTGGAAACTTCCGATCTGTCAATTTTCTGTTTCTACAACAAAATGTTCGAAGATCAGTTCCACATGTGTTTGGAATTCCCTGCACAGAATCGCTACATCATTGCATTCCCATTGATCTGCAGTCACTTCCAGAACTGCACCCACGAAATGTGCCCAGAAGAACGTCATCACATCAGGGAACGCTCCTTGTCGGTAGTGAACATGTTCTTGGATGAGATGGCTAAAGAGGCAAAGAATATCATTACAACCATCTGCGACGAGCAGTGCATGATGGCAGATGCCTTGCTTCCAAAGCATTGTGCCAAAATACTTTCCGCAGCAGCTAGTCGGAAAAAGAAGGATAAGAACAAAAAACACATGGATGATATCAAAAGACCTGGTGATGAAAGCTACAGGAAAACGCGAGAGGAACTGACGACGATGGATAAACTTCACATGGCACTAACGGAACTTTGCTACGCTATCAACTACTGCCCAACGGTCAACGTGTGGGAATACGCATTTGCTCCACGAGAATACCTCTGTCAACATCTTGAAACACGATTCTCCAGGGCTCTGGTTGGAATGGTCATGTACAATCCGGACACTATGGAGATTGCCAAACCATCCGAACTGCTAGCCTCCGTGAGGGCCTACATGAATGTTCTACAAACGGTCGAGAATTATGTCCACATTGACATCACAAGGGTATTCAATAACTGTTTGCTGCAGCAAACGCAGGCGCAGGATAGCCACGGAGAGAAAACTATTGCAGCCCATTACAATACCTGGTATTCGGACGTTCTGCTGAGAAAAGTCAGTGGAGGAAATATCGTATTCTCGTTAAACCAGAAAGCATTCGTCAGCATAACGCCAGAGGGTTGCATCCCGTTCAACCCAGAAGAATTTTCCGATTTTAATGAACTGCGCGCCTTAGCTGAACTGATTGGTCCGTATGGAATAAAGCTTCTGAATGAATCATTAATGTGGCACATTGCCAACCAAGTGCAGGAACTCAAACGAATGGTAGCACTGAACAAAGAAGTTCTCATCATCCTGCGTAGCAACTTTGACAAGCCGGAGATTATGAAGGAGCAATTCAAACGTCTGCAACAGGTAGACAACGTGTTGCAACGTATGACCATCATCGGGGTCATCCTAAGCTTCCGCCAGCTTGCCCAAGAAGCGCTAGTTGATGTTCTAGATCAACGCATTCCTTTCCTGCTATCCTCTGTGAAAGATTTCCAAGAACATGTTCCAGGCGGCGATCCCCTCAAAACGGTATCCGAAATGGCCTCAGCCTCAGGACTCAAATGTAAGGTTGACCCTGCTCTATCGAATGCACTGAAAGCTCAGAAACCAGAAATAGACGAAGGCGAACATTTGATCGTTTGTCTGCTGATGGTCTTCGTTGCCGTTTCCATTCCAAAGCTAGCCAAAAACGAAAACTCCTTTTACCGTGCATCTCTTGAAGCACATACAAACAACACCCACTGTATGGCGGTCGCCATCAACAACATCTTTGGTGCAATGTTCACAATCTGCGGGCAGAACGATATTGAAGATAGGATGAAGGAATTTTTAGCTCTGGCCAGTTCATCATTGTTGAGGCTGGGCCAGGAGTCGGACAAAGAAGCGATTAAAAACCGTGAATCGATCTACCTGCTCCTGGACCAAATCGTTCAAGAATCACCATTCCTCACGATGGACTTACTCGAATCGTGCTTCCCGTACGCACTCATTAGAAATGCATACCACGCCGTCTACAAACAGGAGCAAATACTAATGCACTAGAAAGGAACCATCGCTCTACGCCGGAACTGCTTCTATCAATTTGCTTTTATTCGGTACAATTACAATAAGCTAAACGTTGCACTCTTGTGAAACATTCAAGAAAATGGGGATACATTTACTTTTACTATCCATCACCTCATGAATAGTCGAAAAAATATGGAAACTACTACAAAAAATGTATCTTTTTTCTGTAATGATAAGCTACAAACGGATAATAAATTATGAAAAAAAAATATAATTCATATTCATTGTAATACGACAAGTTAATCGTAATGTCATTTATAAACGGCAATATTTCATAAAAATATGAAAATAAAATATTTAGAAGCTATTCCAGTGAGATGTACTTTTATGCACAGAAAATGAGAGAAAACCGTTGATGACAATGGACTGTTATACCTACGTTTATTGGTAATATAGGAATCATTTTTATTGTTTTGAGTTAGATAAGCAGTCAATCGTGGGATCAATCCCAGGCCCTTTCATTATTAAGTTTTAGAGTAACATCGTCACATACTTATCGTGTGTTTTGTGAAGCTCGTCGTCGGTAGCGGGTTCCCCGGAAGCTACACCTAAGATGGCAGCCCTATCACGGCGGGGATAGGAGACCTTAGACTAACCACCTACTGCCTCTGAAACTTTTATAATTGTTCAAGAAACCAACAGAGAAGGATATCGAACTGATTTAACGGCAACGACTTTTAGCGCAAAACAACGGACACGAATTGGATCATGGAATGTATTGACGTTAGCCCAGCAGGGTAAACTGGCACAACTCACCAACGAGGCGCGACGCATGAAGCTAGAAATCCTGGGACTGAGTGAAGTTCGTTGGCCAAACTTTGGAGAACACAAACTGCCGTCGAGACAGGTACTACTATACCCAAGAAACATTGCTTGCTTTATAGAGGTTTTATAGCAAGCTACAAGTGTAAATTGTGGTCTACAGAACCTTCATAAAACCAAAATTGTTACTAGGGTACTCTGGTATTCGAGGTGAAAACGCTCCCCGCTATCGTGGAGTTGGTCTCCTACTTAGCGTCCAGGCAAGTGCTGAGTTCATCAAGTGGGAGCGGCGTTGGCGGACTTCGGTTCGCGAGAAAATGGTTTGTTTACTAAATATGGTTGAGGTTTGTTTACTAAATATTGTTGAGGTCTTTTCAATTGTTGATCTTGAGTTGTTGTACTTTTCGGAGAAAGATAATATCTTTAAATTATTTAAATGGCCTTAACTCCATTTTGTAAACAAACCTTGTAAGGCAATTTTCTCGCGAACCAAAGTCCGCAAAGACAAACCAACATAATGAACAGGTAGGGAAAATTCTCCTCTACCCGATTGTAGTTTAGGTTTGCGAATGAACACGCAGAGAAATGATTTTTAAATTCAAATGGATATATTTTTGGCTCAGGGCCTAATATATTTTTGGTATTGATTCAAATATATTATTCGGTTAATTCAAAGAAAAATATTTTTGAATCAACAAACCGGTTGTAGAGTCAGTAATCTGTTTGTTGATTCTAAAAACCATTTTGTTGATTCAAAAATATGTTTTGTTGATATAGTAATACAATATGTTTTAATCAATAACAAAATACATTTGGTCCTGAAACAAAAATCCATTTTTCTGCGTGAAGGTTTCGGTTCGCGAGAAAATGGCCTTACAAGGTTTGTTTACAAAATGGAGTTGAGGCCATTTCAATTGTTGATCTTATTTAGGAATTAAACAGGTAACCACATGATGCGACCACCGACAAACCGACATGAAACTTAAACTTAACTCTTGATCGAGAATCCATAACGGCCGATTCAAATGTGCAGCGATCCCATCTGTTAGAACCATAGAAATGTTTTATCTAGATAAAAATAAATTATCCGTAGTAGATTAAACACGAACCACACACTAACTTTAGATTACTGGAGTCAGTAAAATATTACTGGGTTTTTGAATTGCGGATCGCCCAGTAATCATCACAGAAATAATTTGCATTACCGAACTGTCCGCAGGGATGGAAAATCATTTACATTAATTTCGTGCATTCATTTACATTCATTTGCCTTTAACTTTTTTCATCAACAGAATACCGTTAAATAATGTATGAAGCTTTTGTAGCTTTTGCTATTAACTAAAACTTTTGTTTATAACTAAAATATGAATCTCTTATGCATGATGAAATAGAGCTGGCAGAACATGTTATTGTTTTTCAGTGAATGCAATTTACATTCACTGAAAAACAATGGTGGATTCTAATCGCTCTGCTTCATTATGCATAAGAGATACAGATTTGAGTTGTTCATAAAAGATGTAGTTAACATAAAAGCCTACAAAAGCTTCACACATTACTTTACGGAATTTCGCTGATGAAAAAAGTAAGAGGCAAATGAATGTAAATGAATGCACGAAATGAATGTAAATGATTTTCCATCCCTGACTGTCCGTAAAGTCAATCTGTCAGAAATAACTGTTCATTCAGTAATTGGTTTGAGTTGCGTATACTGGAAAACCCAGTATTTTGTTTTGTTTATTTTGCTGCAATTTAACTGACAAGACAGTTATTTGGTTCATTATTGTACCGTGTTACCCAGTTATATTAAAAGTTGTGAATATGCAGTGATAAAAGCACGAATCCTGGTGCAATTCACCGTTTATAATATGCCAATTAATATGACGACTTAATCCCTTGACGTACCAAGGGACAGCGCATCGACAGTGAAAGCATATAATGCAAACATCCATTTTATTAATCAAAATTTGTTGGAGATCAAGGAACTGCAAAAAGAGTAAATAATAATTGTTGGTACTAACGAAATAGCTCTTCAATTTCGCTGTCGAGCTTTCTCAGTTCCGTCATGATATAATTAATTAATTAATTTATCTTTATTAGGGAGGCTTTCAGCCTTGGGCTGGTTCGCCTCCACACATGATATAATTCAAATTTTAACAAAACTGCGCGATTAAAGACTTGCTCCCGGATTTGACTGAAGCTAAAATGGCGGCGGGAATAAAATTGACAGGTTAGAGTTTTACAATTCGTGGTCGGTAAAACAAGGTGGCTATTTTGCTGACCAGTCGGTAAAAAATAAAAACTACTTTGTGCACAGTAATTAGTTTTACTGACTTTTCGTGAAATCACGAAGATTTGGAAATTAACGACTTTCTCAGTACTTAAATATTCTGTGTACAGTATTTTGCATCAAACGATACCGAAGTTCAGTTTGTGTTTTACAGAACGTCGGTTATTCAACTGATTTAAACTGAATTTTCAGTAAATCTTTTGTTTTACGGTGTAAGCCCAGTACAAAAAAATACCGAACAACTAAATGCTGGATTAGTGTGCAACTCATAAATTTTGAACGCGTTTTCGCGAACAAAGCGGCAGATGTCAGTTTTGTGCTTTGATCAGAAATTTCTTTGTAATTTGTAATGCAAATTACAAATGATCATTCATGTCGGATGGTCGGTGATGCGACTCCGTCTATGCCACGGCCAGAGTAACACAGATGATCGTTGGAGTGGGACTTAAGGTCAAAGCCCCGATCAACATGCCGAACTGAACGATGAAAGCTCCGCAAGTGAAGTATTTTAGGTCCTGCCTGGTCCAGCCAATCGGCCAGATATCCGGATGTGCTCAGAATGATGCCCACCGCCAGGTATAGCAGAGCGGATAGTATTCCGCAGTCCTGTAGGTCAAAGTCTAGGACGGCTGAAAGGGATGGAAAGTTGAATATCAAATTATTGATTGAAGAATTCCTAGACCGTACTGGTGCCTTTACAGACTGAGGCACAAATTAAAGCACTTTCCAAATATTATCAAAACCCTCGTGTAAACACCGTCCGTTTTCGGATTCCGGCCAATCTTCACCATTGGCCCAACAACTTCCCGGACTTACTTCCCGACAAACCGCCAACGAACGCCTTTCCCGTGTTTCGGATACACAAAAAGAAGTGGTCTTACACGTTTGCTTGCTAATTAGATACTGATATATATATTTCAATTGTCCATGTAGAAAGTTCATATAGTCCATATAGTTTCATGGTGTGAGTAATACCCGGCTTTGCTAACGCCCGGTAGCATCAGCTTCAAAAAAATAGTTTACACTCGGCAAAAAGTTGAATTTATTACCCATTAATGCCGCGGATACACTTTTTCCTTCGTTTGTTTTCCGTCGATCTTGTTTTCCGTGCTGAGCACCAATGCTACCGACGTGCCAGGAAGGCAGCTCCCACACCTGGACCCTACCTATCGACCCATCAGCTCATGAACCGGGGACCAACGGCTTTACTTCCCTTCAGGCGTGATCAGAGATCATAACATCCCGGCGGCGCTGACTGGGATTGAACCCAGGCCTGCTGGGGTGAGAGATTATCACGCTTACCACTACACCACCGGTGCCGCTATTTTTTAATGTTTATTTTTGTAATGATTGTATCATTACATTGCTGCTATCAAGTTGAATAGGAATGAGTTAATGTTTTAGGAATAATTAAATATGGGAGGTAAAAGGGCTTCGCTGAGGCCAACTTCTGTGTGTCTCAATGTACAGTTGTCCTGCAGATCCTGATGCCTGCGTAGCATATAATTTATATTAACATTTTATTTTATTGTAATATAATATGATCTATGGTTAGAAGTATTTGAATTACCCAGAGAATAAATTGAATATCATCATACATTAGACCCTAGTGTTTTTAAATTGTTCTCCCTTTGCAGAGTTTTGCTATTTCAAGAATGATTCATTGATACTTGGATTCCTAGATCCTAGATGCTTGAGCATCGGCAATACAAATGTTGACCACACATGGTATCCTTATTAATGATTGAACGGCGTCCAGGAATCTGGAAAAAGAATACGGACAAAAACCAACCGGCGATAAGGATTCTTAACCGTAGACTAATTTTTCTCCCGGTAACTGTAGCTTAATTTTTCCCATGAGTTATATACCTTCATCAATATTTATCATTTTCGCTCAGGCTCAAAGTTTTGGATAGTGATTAGAACTGAAGCTTGGCTACAATGTTTGCAATATTTATTTTTAAGTGAAGCACTTTAATGGAGAGTCATCAGTTAATAAGCGTAATTTAATGGACAAAAAAATAAGAAGGTTAAATTATTTAATTTCATCAAACAGTTTGTACCATTTACACGATTTTAACACAAATGACAATGCGATTTGTTGTGTATTCCTTGCACATGAATAGGGTTAATTGTAACCAGATAATTGGTTTAGTTGGATATTAGTTTTCCCTCTACAAAAAAAAGGCATTTTCTTATTTAATTGTTGATTCAATGCCATTTATCGTCATATCATACCTCAACGATAGTCTTCACAATCATGGTCGAGGCCACACCAAGCCCAAACATCAGGGCATATGGGAGAAACTTCAACGAAAATCCTTGCCGCTTCTTCAACAGCGTTGTCAGGAACGACAGTTTGCTGTCCGAGTATGGGGGATAACGTGAGCTGAAATGGAATACAATTAGTAATTATAGGTAATAGTTTACAATGCAACAAAATGGAGGAAGGGGAAACTTACGAAGCCAGCTTCTCACCCACAGGGCTGAAGTTCTTCACCAGGCAGGACTTCTTGTGCGTAAATGTATCGAATCCATACTTTCCGTGATACGCTCCCATTCCGCTTGGACCGACACCTCCAAATGGTAGGGACTCAACTGGAAATTCGAATTGGTAGTTTATGAACAGCAGTTAGTTAATTATTTTAAAAACGTGATATTTTATAGAAATAGTACAACCTGCAAAGTGTCCCATGGTATCGTTGACGCAAATTCCACCACATGAAGTATTTGATATAATTAGATCCCTGTCGGTCTCGTTCTTGCTGAATATGTACATTGCCAGTGGCTTGTCCCTAACAGGACCATATGTAGAAAAAAAAGTGTTGTAAATGAGTTCGCATAGTAGAGAAGCTCATCAATGTAAACGACTGATGAGAATAAACAAAGTCTTTGGAATTAGACAATGAGAAAAGCCTAAAACCACACATTCAATATCTGTCTTGGAGTCTTGTGCCTCCAAACTTGTAGCTGTTGTTGAGGACTCCTAGGCATTTTAGATGACCCACCCCAGTGGTTATGTCTCTATTATATCTCAGGTTGCTCAAACAATATAACTGGCAAAAAAACACTAAACCTTGATCTTATCTTGAAAAAGTTGCAAATCAGCAAATTAAAAATTTACTAAAATGCAAATAAGTTGTAAGTTAGTCCAAATTAACTTACCGAGAATTAATCAACTCAATGGCTTCATGTGCATTTTCTACATTAATTATGGGAAGAATGGGTCCAAATATTTCGTCCTGCATTACTGGATCATTGTTTTTGACATCCACAACAATCGTAGGGGAAATATACTTCTCGTCCGCATTCGTATCTCCTCCAATTGCTGTGTTTGTACCCTTCAGCATGCTGCTTAGGCGTCTGTAGATTACCATGAAGAAAACAATGAACAAGAGTTTTGAATATACCATATTAACACAAACTCACTGGAAATGTTGCTCGTTGATGATTCGACTCAGATCCGGACTTTGCCTAGGATTCTCGCCATACCATTCCTTCAGCACAGATCGTGCCTCCTGGAGGAATTGCTTCTGGACTTTTTTGGTACAAAGGACATAGTCGGGTGCAATACAAGTTTGCCCAGCATTCACAAATTTACCCCACATGATTCGTTTGGTGGCGATGGGAATGTCCGCCGAGCTGTCAATGTAGCAAGGACTCTTTCCTCCCAGTTCAAGCGTGCAAGGTGTCAGGTTCTCTGAGCAAGCTTGATGAACGATCTTTCCCACCCGACCAGATCCGGTGTAAAAGACATGATCAAACTTCTGTTTTAACAGCTCGGAAGTTTCCTTCACTCCACCTTCAACTACTCGATAGCATTCCTGTTACAAATATAAAACCACAATTAACTATTTTTCAAAACTCTCATCCCCTGAATGCTCTACCTGATCCAAATACTTTGGAATGGTCTCAGCGATGAACTTCGAGGTGGCTGGTGCCACTTCGCTGGGCTTGATCAATACACAGTTTCCTGCGGCCATTGCTGCTGCCACCGGAACCAACGTAACTTGCAGTGGATAATTCCAAGCTCCAATGACCAGTACTACCCCGTATGGATCATTATAAATCATTACACCATCCATCATGTTTACGAAGGTCTTCTTTGGTTTCTCTGGCTTAGCCCATTCGCGCAAGTTCGATATGATGCTGCGCACGTCGTTGATCATGTAGTCAATTTCCATCAGATAGGCCTCTTGTTTGTGTTTACGCAAGTCTTGTGCCAGCACTCGAGCCATTTGGTCATGGTTTTCCTCGTACATACGCAGCAAGTTCTTGAGCTGTTTCTCCCTGTCAATGGACGATATAATTCAAAATACTGTTTTAAAGCATTTATTTTATTGTTTCGATGTACATACCTGAATTCAACATTTCTGGTCTTTCCACTAGCGAATGCTGTGTGGAGCTTTTGCACAGTCTGAAACCAAATTGATGTTAAGATTTATTTATTTGTGATTCCTAAACTGAGGTGAAATACCTCAACTACAACATTTTAAAACTGCTTGAAGATTCAACACAGTAGATCTTGGTATTTTGGTCATTCAACATATCAGTGCCAACATTTCAAAGGGGCGTAATTGCTTTTGTAAAGAATGGCTTTAGCCGTCGATTTCTCGCAAATAGAAGCTTACCCCTCCAAATTAACAATGCTAGCTGGTAGAAGAAACATTTATCTACCTGTTAGTATAATTAATTTTCATGAATGAACTTTTATTCGCGGGAAATCGACGGCTTTAGTCATTGTTGATTCAATTGCGCCCCTTTGAAATGTTGGCACTGATATGACAAAAATTTCAACAAAGAGTCATACTTACATCTGATATGCTCATGTTGTACAAAGTTTGGTTTCCTGGAATAAAAAATGCAATATGTTACAACACTCGTTAGCCTTTTTTTTACGACTTACATACATCCATACCTCTAACGCCAAAATCACGAGTTAAAATCTCACCCGGACAACCCAAGTAACCATCAAGCTAAGGGCTGTTCAGTTTATAAAACGGACACTAAAAATTGTCTATATCTTGTATTCGTATTGTTTCTTCGGAACAAACATATATTATGATCCAATCAAAAATATGCAATGTTAAAATTAATGATAATCAAACGCATAACTTCAGAATTAGTAATCAAAGCTAGGTTTAAAAGTAAATTGAATTAAAAATATCCTAAAACAATATTTTGTTCTTCCATTCATTTATTTTCTCACGTAAACAAACAAAGTTTTTTTTTTAATATTTTTTCCATGGGATCCTTTTTTTTTCCTTTGGCTTGTTTTTTCCGTCGATCTTGTTTTCCGTGCTGAGCACCAATGCTACCGACGTGCCAGGAAGGCAGCTCCCACACCTGGACCCTACCTATCGACCCATCAACTCATGAACCGGGGACCAACGGCTTTACTTCCCATCCGAAGGAAGGCGTGATCAGAGATGTTATGCCTCAGAACATCCCGGCGGCGCCGACTGGGATTGAACCCACCCAACTAACATTTTCAGCTTTGTAAGCCAACTTTTCCAGCGTTGTGCTGTAAAGTAGCTGAAAAGAAGCTGCAGATACAGCTACAAGCAAAAGCTATCAAAATAGTTTTGGAGAGCGTTTACTCAACTTTCTCACAACCATTATTCAATTTGTCAGTCGCACTGAATAACATCAGCCAATAAACGCTAATGTTACTTCTATACACACACTACCCAACTTTCAACTTGTAGCGGCAAAACAAAGCTAACAAAGTGAATATGTTACTCATTTGATGGCTTCTACACAACCAACCACTCTTGCTGAATAACATAAACATCAAAAGTGCTTTTTCAACAACTAAACAACCTATACTCAGCTTATAAACTGTGTTAGAGCGAATTTGGAAGCATTTTCACAGTCAACTAGGTTTTATTTTTAGACGTGTGCAGTTTTACAGCTTTTACTCTGCTCTTTTATAACTAGTTGAGAAAATTGATTCATGTGTACTATTATAAAGCCTCTACTCAGCGATGTTGTTGTAGAAGGGAATGCTGATTTGTTTACATAAGTTCAAAGTGTTGGCGTAGCACAGTTGGTAGTGTCAAGGTTTGGCAATGAGGTCGTCTCGAGTTCGATTCTAGGTTCCGGTGCAGGGTAAATAATTTGGTGATGATTTGTAACTAATTTCGATTAATTTGATTCACAGCAAAATAAACTCAATAAATTCCTTCATAAAAAAGCGTATTTAGCTCGGCTTCAAGAGAAAGCTGTGTAGTGATTATTGGATAGCCGGGAAAAGGTTGAATAAGCGCAAACAGCAGGATAACAGCTGTATAGAAGCGTTAATGGATATGCAATAAGAGCTTCTCCCGACTGTTCCAACAGCCATAAGTAGCTGACTAAGTTCGCCAGATTTGCTTGTATAGAGGTTGAGTAAAGGTTTCCTCATATCGTATAACGTTTGAATACAGCTTGAGACTGTATAAATGAAATGAGTAAAGCGTTTACATTGTGAAAATTGTTACATTCAAAGTGTTTTTTATGTTACTTCATACGCGAAGTTAACGATTTTCAGAGTTGGTTGGAAATGCTAACATGAAGCTTTAGTGTGATGATTTATTAGCTAGAGAATGATCTTTAGAAGAGGGTATGTGGATAGTTCCGTTAGAGTACGGCAGTATGAAAATTGAATAGAAGTTGAAAATGAGCGAAGGGCCATTAAAGCGATCACCCTACTGCTTTCTCTCTGAGATGATCACGTTGGTCATGACGAGAGGAGCAACACAATAGTTGGGTAAAGAAGAACTGCATTATAACACACCATCGACTGGAAATGCTCTCGCAGCGTGGGGCTTTAGGTAGTGATGAAAACGTCGCTAGAACTATTCCACAGCCGCAGTCAGTTTATGAGCAACAAGAGGGACGCACATTTTTGCCTGTGGACTTGGAGACATACTTCAAGTCCCCGCGTACATCGTACGGGCTAGGCAAAAATGTGCGTCATCTTGAAAACTGTCGCTTTAATGGCCCTTCGCTCATTTTCAACTTCTATTCAATTTTCATACTGCCGTACTCTAACGGAACTATCCACCTACATTCTTCTAAAGATCATTCTCTAGCTAATAAATCATCACACTAAAGCTTCATGTTAGCATTTCCAACCAACTCTGAAAATTGTTAGTTGGGCAGGCCTGCTGGAGTGAGAGGTAATCACGCTTACCACTACACCACCGGCGCCGTTAACCATGGGATCCTCTTCACACACTTACGTAGAAAAAATATTCAGGTTTATTGGTAAAAAGTGACCAACTTCCCCCGTCTTACGGTATAGTTTCATTTCATGGTTGCTCAATAAGTGTAAGTCCAATAAACCATAGGTGTAAGTTAAACCTGTTCATTTTAACAGAAATGTTCGGGATGCACCGGGTCAACCGTGATTACTGTTCGTCATGTTAATTTGAACTTCTGAGCAAATTTTCAGCAAATTCAGTGATGATTTAGAGGTGCTTCAAGCAAATTATATGTTTTAAGGTAATTTACGGCTTATAATATTTGTATTTTAAGATTGAAACAACTAAAACTGCTCTAACAACTCTCATAGCAAAGCTCAATGTGTTATCTACCAACTTTGTGACCAAAGGTTGACTATTCAAAGTGATTTTATTGAAGTTTGACTAAGTTTTATGCCCGGAAATATCTTAAAAATTGAATTTTTTTAAAGTAATTGTTCAACGAACTTTCCACCCATCTATCTTCTATCTTCTTCTATCTTCTATATATATAAAAATGAATTTCTGTCTGTCTGTCTGTCTGTCTGACCCTTATAGACTCGGAAACTACTGAACCGATTGGCGTGAAAATTTGTATACAGGGGTTTTTGGGGCCGTGGAAGGTTCTTATGATGGTTCGAGACCCCTCCCCCTTCTGTAAGGGGGGGGGGGGGGCTCCCATACAAATGAAACAGAAATTTCTGCATAACTCGAGAACTAATCAAGCAAATGGAACCAAATTAGGCATGTGGGGGCGAGTGTGGGGGTATAAGGAGATAATCATAGGGGGTAGCCCCTTAGACAATAGGGGGGGGGGGCAACGTACAATATAACATGCTTTTTTTTAAATCGGCGCATAAACTCAGCTAGTATGATATAAAAATGTGTAGTCTACGACATAATGTTCCTTATACTGTTTTAGAAATTTTGTTTTCGTGTGGATTCCATAGATTGAGCGATAAAAAATCAGAAAAGAGGCCGTTATAGCTAAAATTCACAAAACAACAGAGCCAATAAAAGATTCAATTAGATTGACAGAACATAGTTGCATTGCTTTTCAATGACGACCGATGACTGTTTCATTGATAGATGATATTTTTATAAATATGAATCCTCAGTAGACACGTTTTTATTTCAAAGGCAAGTGTCACTCAAGCCATAACAGCAATTTATGAAATAACGAACATTTTGGATGGCTCGAGTGACACTTTCCTTTGATAAAAAAAACATGTCGACTGAGGATTCCTTTTATAAATCATCTATCAATGAAACAGTCATCGGTCGTCCTTGAAGAACAATGCAACTATGTTCACTGTAAGTCCAATAAACCAAAAAGTTTCGTTCAATCATCTACAGAATGGCTGAAAGATTCTCCAAGCCGAAAAATTCTAAGACACTTCCGTAAGGTTCCTTATAAGGAATGTTTTGAAGAATATAAATTTGCTTCATGAACCGCAATCAAAGATTTCTGGAGAATGTTATAGGGTAGATGTTCCAGTTATGGCACGTTCTTATTTCGCGCAGTGTTTCTTTTTGCTGTCTTCGTGCGCTTTTTTAATAGCATCTCAACCGTTGATTTTAGTAGTATGGCATGTTCGAAGAAGATTCTACCAGAGGCGTCGCGTGCCACATTTGTTTACCTGTGCACCAAACTTTGTTCGTTAAAGTTTACCACCACATAGGGTTTTTGATCGAATTTCTGTCCTACTAAGCACAACCCGCGCTTTACCTCTCTTTTCTGAACGAGTTTAAACAAAAAAAATTGAATATTTCTGACAAAAATGACTTCTAAATTTATTAACCTTTCCATAAGTACCGTTGGATTTGATAAAGAGTCACAAATTGTTGAGATATTGTTTAAAATCTAATTCTGCTTCTTGATTATAAATTCGTTCTACGAGTTTCAATTCCGTCCAAACGCATTGAAACGCCATTAGATTTTCTTCGTCCTACGGATAAACGTAGAAAAAGGAGATTCGCTAGGAGCGCTTTTTTGTTTTGAGAACAATGAGCGTAAGTATTCATACAATGCGCTCTAACAGGATATATGTTGTAGTTAATGAACTAACGCATCGGAACTATCCTATTATTGATTTGTGCAGAGTGAAATCATTGATATTATTGATCATTTCTGATCAATAGAACGGAAATGGGCGATTACGACGAAGTAGTGCTCTAGTTTCTATTGCTCTATTGATTTTAGTTTTAGTTTTCAATGCTCCAGGAATTGGAGGGACATATACTCAATTACTATATTAATCACTACCTAACGTAACACTTTAAGGGCCTATCATCTTGTGTAAACAAAACTTGTATGGCCTTTTTCGCGCTAACCGAAGTAGGAGGAATTGCAAAACTTATCTCACTCTCGTTTTTATCACAAGGGTAACGCTTTCGACTGAAGTGTAATAAAGAATATCCGTCAAACACTTCCGAAAACATTTATTGATACAAAACAGTGTCAAAATCTAGAGAAAATTCATAAAGTTCCCTGAGTAGCAAACTTGAATTAATCAACTCTTTATTCATTAGAACAATACTATTAGAATGAACTAGGGGAAGCTCATAAGCTTTGACAGGCACACCGGCGCAACCATCGGTAATTTATAGATTTACAACTGAC